GCAGAGACAGGCAGAGACAGGCAGAGACAGGCAGAGACAGGCAGAGACAGGCAGAGACAGGCAGAGACGCACAGAGTTGTGGGCTAATGGAACTCTGCTATCACAGTAAGCACACATTAAAAGCTTCTCCTTCGGCAGCACAGACATGGTCCACGAGGCGGCTGCTCGAGCAGCTCGACGCCCGGCTCTGCACACACCCCGCGTGCACCTCTCCAGCCGCACACTCACTTGCCGTCATCGGCGTGGTAGGCTACAGAGTGCGGCAGCCAGCCCGGCTGCTGGTCCAGCTTGTAGAATTGCGGCACCAGACCCACCGCAATAGTCCCCCTCACTCCCGTGTCCACGATGGTCACCTGGAAGGGAGGATGGGGGTCAGACAGGCATCACTGCTGGCTGTAATACAATGCAAGCCAGTGGGGAGGTAGCTTTACGCAGGGGATTGTGGGATAGCTAGGCAGCTCCCTGGAGGCCAAGCAGTAGGCAATCTGCTTTGGCGGCCAACGTGGCATAATCAATGCGGCTGCAATACTTCAGCACTATCTACTGGCCATAACATAACCAACATACTGCACCAGGTCAGGTCACGCACCGGCGGCCAGAAGCAAAATTGTCAAAACCAAAAGTTCACCTGTCCAAACCTTTGAACACTAAGTTGTGCGGTCATCTGGGGATTATAGGTAATACTCGCTCACCCTGCCCTGAAGCAGAGACAGAAACCAGATTACTGGGAAGGGAGATTCTTAAACCTATTAAGACATCAATGAGTTTGTGCTGTGTCAAGCTCCCGGTGTTGCATCGAGGTCTGCAGGATCTGAACAATGAAAGTAGGGTACTTCAGATGGAGGGCCCTCCACTGCCCCCACCTAAGTGGTGGAGCCTTGTTGTAGAGCTGGAGACAGCAACAAGACGATGCTTAAAGAAAGTGCATTAACCCTAACCCAGGAGGTTCACTGCAGTTGTACCTTTAAGAAAATCTCTGCAACACTTCAGTGACATTGATCGTTCCTATTGCACAAAAAGTCAATAAAAATGACTCTAGCAATAAACTGCACTCACTCATTTCTGTGCCCACTTACATTTAATTTTATTTTTGAAAAAGCACAGTCAGCCAGTCCCTGGCACACCTAGGGGTTAAGGGCTTTGCTCAAGGGTCCAACGGTGACACCACTCTGCACAGCCACAAGATTCTAACCACAGACCTTCTGGTGACAGTCACCCAGCTGTACCCAGTTCAATCAGCATGTTACATAGAGAAGCATTACAAATACAAATAGCTATATATACACCATGACTTCAAAAAGGCAATAACACAAACTGCCTGTATAAGCAGGATGGACCTGCGTTCAGTAAAGAACCACAGCAGACTCACATTAAATTTGTGGGACGTGTACACACAGGCATGTCATTTTTATGAAGCGTATTCGGGTGTCATTTATGTTTCTCATACCAACTTCTTGTGCATCATAAAGTTCAATTTATGTTGTCGCTGTATTTGCCACGGTTACTTGGTAACAAACAGCAGGAGAGGCAAGAGAAGAAGAAAGAAAAAACACGTCTGTGTGTCAAATTCCCTCATAAAAGGATGGTTTAAAACTGCAGAGGGCCATAAATCAAAATCGTTAATATTCTGGATACTTGCACTATGTTACCGATGAACAGAACGTTTCATGACATAAAGCAGCAAGGCTCCCCACTAACAGCACAAGGTCCAAGCACCACACACTGACCCTAAGTGTCATGTGACCTCGGGTCATGTGACACATGCACTCCCAAAAGCACAGGAATACCATCCCGTCGCTTTCATTTTGCAATTATCCTGCACCACAAACAGCACTACGACTACTACACTAATGACAGAAGAGCTAAATGAAAAAGGTGAAGTTTTTTTTAAGCCTTTGATGGGTTTGCAGGGGGGCCTGGAGCCCCTCTCAGGCAGCGTAGAGCAGCAGGCAGGAGACACTCAGGACGGGATGCCAGGCCACACAACAAGTGCTGTAATGCTTCGGAGACAGAGACCGAAACCGCAATACAAATGTTCGCCATTCACAAGACCCAGGTGCAGCGTGTTGAGTGCTGAGTCGCATTAGTTATGTTGCAAAACTTAATATTCAATGTCATGATTAACACTAACACACCAGCATCACAAAATAATTATTCTAAAAAGTTAGGGCAAGTTGTACATTTTTCAAATTTTACACATTACGCCTATTTTTTTGTATTCCAACTGCATGTGTCGTGACAAATTTGGTCCAATCATGATTGAGTGATCATGCCTGCAGTAAAAGCTAGGCTGGTTTCATTAACTCAAGATGGAAACTACCAGATCGGCGAGCATCTGAGCACATTTAAGTCAGCCGTGTGGAAACATTGTGGTTATCCAGTACAGTATAGTATTTTTTTTATTTTTGTTTAGTCATTTTATGTGAAGTTGAGCAAACCTGTTTAGTATTCTTCTGTTTAGTGTTCCAAATTATTGTAAAACACAGAATTTTCCCACCCCTTTTTTTGTCTAATTAATCCCCCCCCCCCCACAAAAAAAAAAAAACCCTGGGGTATGAACTCAAAAATCAAGGTCTGAACTGATCCATGGATTTGGGAAGTCTGTGCACTCCTAATCAGTACAGACAATTCAAAGATGATAATTAGCCTAACTGTCTTGTCTCTGGATTCTAGGAAGAAGTTGTTGGAAGTTGTTGTTGTTTATAAAATCCATCCATCAAACTCTTAATTCATTGCGAAAAACAAATTAAACTGGTTCGGCTAGCTCAGTAGAGGATGCTAATCAACGTCAGCATCACTAATATGGAACCCAACCAATGCAATGCATGATGGAGGCAGAGTGAGAGAGAACAACTTAGGATACAATGGTCACCCTACGGAGAAACTTAGGTGAGAAGATACAACTTCTGTCAAGCACAGAAGAGCCCCCCTGAGACGAGGATGAGAGAGAGAGACTACCACAGAGAGACTAAACCAGGGGTCACTAACATGGTGCCCATGGGCACCAGGATGCCCCCAAGAACCACGAGTCACCCGCGGACCTGTTCTAAAAATAGCACAACTCACCAGTGAGCAGCGTCTAAAATTTAATTTTATTCTGTTGCTATTCTTCTTTACTCACATTTGCATTTATATAGATTTGAAAGTGATGTTAAAAAAAGCATTTTAAACATGTTTATTATATTGAGCAAATTTGTTATTTAAGAAGAGTGTGTCAAACTGGTATCCCTTGAAGTAGCTCTGTTTCAAAAAGGTTGATGACCCCTGGACTAAACAGTAATGACCATTGTGGGGTATGAAAGTATAGAGAGAATCTAACTAACAATTAAAACCTTCCATGAAGGAGGAGTCAAAATATCACCAGAACACCCCCTGCAAACTGCTTGGGTTTCGCTCACTGCAATGCCTCCATAGAGAGACTAAATCAGCAACTACCTCAAGTCAGTGATCATTCGCAAACAGGACAGTAATTTTACAATTCGTCTTCAAACCAATCTGAGGACTATTGAGCAAATTTTGTACACCTGACAATGCATGCCAGAAAGAGAGATCTTTGAAGTAAAACAGACAAAATGTCAACTCAATGAGGGTTAAAAGAAATTGAGTGTGGAGGTGAAAGCAAAGTCGTAAGCATGTCTGCAGTCACGTCTGGGCTACCATGATATTTACTTAGCAGCCACTTCGCTGGGTTCGACTAGGTTGTTGGAACAGAACTCGGGCGCTAAACAAGGAGTTCATTCAAATGGAGAGGTAGGGCTGAGGGATGCATGGATAGTGGGCAAAGAACTCAGAACTTAGAAAGCAGTTCATCAGAATGTGTCAATGGGCCGAGTTGGATAGTTAATACACAGATCAATTGAATCTCAAGATTAAACTGCTACTTATTAACCAACCCCACCCCCGAATCCGTAAAAAAAAAAATACTTGGTCTCTTTAGATACCACACAAAATAATGAGGAAGTGACTTTTTGGCAAACTCCACAGCACTCACAATCATGGAACTGGATGATCAATCAGCCCTGTGAGATGGAACAGCCTTAGGAGTCACACACTCTATCCACTATCTCACCTTGGTGAGAAATTACAGCATACATTCCACAACCCGGGGCCCCTCACTCCAGCGCTTCAGACGCTATTCGCTATGGAAAAAGAACGGAAAAAAAAGACACGATACACAATATATGGTAAAACCTGAAATATCCGGTGCCCCAGGGACCAAAGGGGCGCCAGATAACGTAATTTTCCGGATATTCGAGCACCATAGTCAGTGTGTCTCTCAGTGTACCTAGCAACTTCACGGACTGACCCAACCAGTAACTCTGCCTATCCGCACGTCCCATTTCCCCTGATGCACCTTCTACTGACTTCTAGAGGCGTACATTAGATCTAAAAGCCCAACAAAACAATGTGACACTGAATTACTGACATTTGTATTTGAAACAAATCTTCCACAATCTGCTTAAAGATTAAACAAACCGATTCTCGGATGACTTTAGCCAAAGACTGCAAGTCACTCTTTATGCAACATACAGCCACCAGCAAAGGGGGGGGGGGGGGCTGCCAGGCACACGCCCCCACCCTAACCCAGCTGTGCCAGCACCACACTGAATTCTGCGGTATGATGCTCTATTCTCCCAAATGCACCGCTGCACTTCTCTGCCGCTTCCCGATTGGCTGGTTTTGCTTGCCGCTGGAAAGGGTACACATCCCCAAAGCTAGAATTCTGAGCATCGTTTAGGCTTTTCCACCAGTAAGAGCTCAATTATACGTTTCCAACTGAAAAAAAGCTGCAACGCCACCATCTGGCCCCTGTTAGGGGAAATGTGCCGATGTTTCAAATTCTTCGCCCGAGTCTTTCCAGTTAATAAAATAATGGAATGTAATAGGCTTCTCAACTGATTTCCGGGTAATAGCTCTCTCAATTTTCAATATGCTACCATTTCAAAATATGGAACGCTATGAAGATTTACAGACTGGACAGTAACTGAGCCACTTTACCAACCAGCTATGACCCAAAGCACCAGGAAAGCTTCCCCCAGCGCTGTCGGGCTCCGAGCACAGAGAGCACGCACACGTGGAGGGGGGGGGGCGAACACAGGCTGAGCCGGAAGACGGGGAGACAAAGCGGCATATGACAGAATTAACGGTGAATACGTTTGGGCACGACCCAGAGAAAAAGAATAAAAAAAAAAAAAAAGAGGAGGAATGTGAGGGGAGGGGGGTCTCTTCATTTGTAAAAATTGACATTTTTCTCCCCAAACAAAACGTTAAAAAGTGCTACCATAAAAGCAGTTTATCATACTCCACTGAAGCGCTTATTCTACCTTTGCTTTTCTTGCACATTAATTTCAGTGTGTGCAGGTAGGACTCTGGCCAGTGCATCTGGTCACTCCTAGGTATTTTTTAAAATAAAAAAAAACATTCTTAGTAAACCAGGAATCTGAAGAATTTATATTTGTTCTGCCCTTTAAGCTGGTTGTGAAGCAACTGCAGTATTTCCAAACTGATCATTCATTTGGGAAAACAGAGATGATAACAACACTAGAACTTACTGACATCACTTATGCCACACAATACAGACATTTTCTACGAAGACTCAGTACTTCACATTTGGTCTCTGCCCTGGTTGCAGAGCACTGTTATTCATAGCTGCATGACCTAAGGCCCATATACGGCATGATCTGCTGTGAAACACTGCTGTCCAGCCAAATGGCTTTTTAATGTTTGCAAGTTAGCGGAAGACCACAATCGCCACCGCCGCAATGACAGTTCGCACAAACCACTACCGATCATCCACACACACAAGCTGTAAATAGCCAAGAAAACGATGATGTTCAGTAATGACAAAAACGGCCAATCATGGATCGGACTTGTTTGTCCAGCACATCCCACAGATGCTCGATCAGATTGAGATCTGGGGAACTTGGAGGCCAAGTCAACTCCTCGAAATCTTTTTTATGTTTCTTAAATCATCCCTGAATTTTTTTTATATGTGGCAGGTCGAATTATCCTGCTGAAGGAGGCCACTACCATCAGGGAATATAGTTGCCATGAAGAGGAGCACTAGATCCTTAATAATGTTTAGGTTGGTAGTACATGTCAAAGTATCACACACATGGATGCCAGGTGCAAAGGTTTCCCAGCAGAACATTGCCCAGAGCATCAAACTGCCTCGACTGACTTGCCTTCTTCCATGAGTACATCCTGGTACTCTCTCTTCCCCTGGTAAACAATACACATGCACCCAGCCATCCACATGATCTAACACAAAACGTGACTCATCAGACCTTCTTCCATTGCTTGATGGTCCAATTCTGGTGCGCACTTCATGTGCATCAGTGACATTTAGGTGCCCATGACCCCATCGCCGGTTCACCGGACCACTTTCGGTAGGCACTGACCAAAGCATACCAGGAAAACCTTACAAGACCTGCCAGTTAGGAGATGCTCTGGCCCAATCAAGTACCCATCACAATTTAGTCCTTGACAAAATTGCTCAGATCCTTACACTTGCCCATTTTTCCTACTTCCAACAAATCAAGTCAAGAACTGTCAACTTACCCAATATTTAATGGCACCCTTGACATTAAATACATTACTCATTGTAATGAGTTTATCAATGCTATTTACTTCACCAGTCAGTGTTTTTAATGCTATGGCTAATCAGCGAATTCCCTCTATTCTGAAAACATACAAAAGGTTTTAAGTCTCCTTCACAAGAGAAAAGTCCATAAGATCAGGTTTCACAAAGAAACATTTTTACACAGCTGGCCAAAAACAAAGGATAAAATAATCAACATTTTATCAACTCAGAGGCAGACACTGTCACCTGATCCATAGAAAGTTAATTATCAGCTGCCCCTACAGTTTCCTTTTTTAAAGACATTTCTGAGAGGGATGAGGTTCAGAACCACCTCGTCAGCAGGTGACCCAGCCCACTGGCCATGGAAATTGAAAACCATAAAGTTAATAACCTCTTCCCGTCCTTGCAGTCCCTGAAAACCCTCAGGCTTTTTTTTTTTTTTTTTTTTTTACTTAAAGAGGTCTAAAAAGGTATATATTTACTTTGACAGCTCAAAGCAAAAAGCCAGCAAACACCCACAATCTGTGAGTCATATCAGTGTCAAACGGGAAGAGACGGGACCTGAGGCGGTGAGAAGGGAGCTTACAGCTGTGATGCAAACCCTGCTCCACATTAATTTTCCCCCAGCTTCAGAGCTTGGTAGCCCTGGGTAGCCGTGTCGCCATAATGCCCTTCCTACCTCAAAGTAGCAGTTCCCTTTGGACAGCGGTCGCGGAGCCACATAGCAGCCAACTTCATCCGAGTTGCCCTGGTAACTGGAAGAGAAGACAATTTAAATAAGGGCACATTTCACAGGCTCAACAAAATGAAACACTCAGACTCGACTGGGGTAGCTGATATGACCCAAAAGATCATGTTGTCTTAGTGTAAAAATATCTGGGCTCTAGTATGAGATAAGAATGAAGTTGAATGTATAAGGCACTAAAACAGGACCCTCTCATATCCCCTCCCACCGATTCCACAGACTGAGAACAGGTGAAGGCCATGCCTAGCTTCGTTCCAAAATGGTCTCCCTGCCTGCCTGACCCACCTGAGTGTGTCCCCATCCTTCAGCATCCTCTTGTACCTCTCCTGGAATCGGACAGCCCGCACCTCCCGGATCTCGCGGATCCTCCGTCGCCAGTTCAAAAATCTGTAGTGCAGGTTGATGTCATCCATTCTGGTCCTATATGAGGCAGGGACAAACTATGAAGACAGGTCTGACATTCAGGCGTCACGCGCTTGTTTACTGCGACAAAATTACTCGACCGGTTAACAGGTTTGTCAGGGTCAGTGATGAGCTAAAAGCCGCATCCCCAACAAGATACTCGCGGTTTAGGGTTAACACCTTTTGGCTATTGTTGTAGGTCATGTTGGACTTGGCATTTTCATTATTTTTTATGACACGCTCCAGTAGCATTGTACTGTTTTACATAACCTCAGGTGTTATCCTCTTCACCATGACCGCGCGATGAGTAGCCGGCCGAGACGGCCGACTGAGGCAAAATCTGACCAACAAGTTCATGTCTAGGAGCTCGAAGTTGTCAATGTGACTAAAGTCGACGGATCTTAAAACGGAGTCTAAAAGCTCCGTCCCTATTTCTAGATACCAACAACAAGGTTTAAAATGACAGAGTCAAGCTACAGTAAACAAAGCTAAGTTAGCCACCTACGTGTATTACTTGCTAGCTCCCGTTAGCTACACACATAAACAGCAACGAATATCAAAGTAACTGCTAGAAAATAATGGACTGTCGTATTATGCTGTAATTTTTAAACTAATAAATTAAGTCAAATAAAACACTTCACTTTTTCGGAATTAACAGTGACTTGGTCACGGTTCATAGCCGCTTTAAGGTAATTAATTTACCTATGATCAGTGAAGCTCCACGTCACTGCTAGCAGCTAGCAGCTGCAGACACTTTAAACCTCCAAGCGGGATCGCCGGGACCGGCCAGCCTGCGGACCGCCTAGCATTGGTACAAACGACCGACCCCGTGCTGCTCCTAATGGATTATCATTAATGTATCTTTGCAGACATACTAACGCCGGTAATAATTTCAGCTGCTGAACGCCGACTTTTCGTTCGCCATTAACGCAAACTAACGACGAACCACAGTCGGCGCCTACGGATGACGTCAAAGAAGACATTCCCTCATACAGACCTTTAAAGCGACAGTCGGCTCATTATCCTAAGCTTTTGCTGATGTAATACAAATTATTTGATAAAATATGTTACATACTGTAGTTATGGATATACCTGTATAGGGACTACATTGATTACTGATTCGATTCTGCTGTCTCACGTTGAGTGTCTCTTAATTAGTCTTTTGTTGGTTTATATTCAAAAACACTTTCTGTATTAAATTATATCTGCTCATCTCCAGTTGCTGAAACGTACTGCCTTGGTACACCCGACACTGCAGTAAACCGATTTCACTGTATAAGAATGACCCTGCTATTACAGCAAGAACAGCGATGCACAGCTCGATAAAAAGCTGAAAATGATTTCACAAAACTGAAAATATGAAATTAATAATATCCGAAAGGTGGAAACTGTCTTAGACATATTTTTATCTCGTACGAGTGTGCAAAAATCGACTGATCTCCTGTCTCAACGAAACTCTGGAATATGATCGAAGAACGATATCATATGCATTTGTCAATATATTGGCTAATATAAAAACTGTTTAATGTAACGCGTGTTGCAGGATAAAAAGGAAACCACACTTTAGAGGAGATAGGAGATAGTTTGCTGGGGATGGAAGAGCAGAATCAACTGTTTGGTATATTTACAGTTGGGACTCCATATAGAGGTGAAATAAAGTGATTTTGAATAGCTTTCCAGCACATCTTTCTGCATGTTCTACACTGACTAACTCCTGCACAGGACACTTCACTAAGAGCATTAATAAGATCTCACAGCTTTGGGGTGACAACTTAGATGTGTGAAGCCGGTGAAATTCAGACATTTTTAATGTAGCCGGTGATTTGCTGCCACTTTAGTTTCCAGCAGGAGAGCCGCAAAACATCGGTGTTCTGAATGTAAAATATCTTCTCACTGAAAAGGTGTTGCCTTTGCTGCACAATCTTCTGTCATCATGTGCTGTCATCACAAATGATATTTTAAAACGATCACTAATTCAGACTTCAGAAAATATATGTGACAAACCAAAATAAACATGACTCGAAATACACATCAAACGGGAATTCTGAACAAAACAGAAACCAAATGCTTAAATAAATAAGAAAAAGAAACCCAAGACTTTAATCCTGAGTTTTTGATTACTTCGTTAAACTCGCGATATTCCAGCAACACAAAGCTCCACTTCATTTAACTCCCAGCGACGCCCTCTAGTGAGTTTAATGAATTTCCAAATTTAGGCAAAGCACTCGTGCAGTTTCCCTCTATTCACTGAATGTCGATTCTTTGTTTGGAAGCTCTACATAATACCTGAAGTAATATTCCATCCATATTCCGACCAGTTATACTTTACACTGCCGTGGAGGGACTTCAAGTCTAGAATATTCCCCCGAGATCAATCAAGTTCATCTTAATCTTAACCCAGAGGCAGAGGGCACAAGGCAGGGGTACACCCTCGATGCCAATCCATCTGAGGTCAGATAAACAGACATGGACAGCCATTTTAACCCAAATGCATGTCTTTGAACTGTAGGTGAAAATCCACACAGCATTTTGGGAACATGCAGGCTCCACCCACACCTAAAGTGAAGGTGATATATGGTCTCACAACCCAGGAGGTTTAAGGCAATAGTGTTTCCCCGATCACTATACTGTCCCAGAAATAATAATAATAGCATTAATTATCATTAATATTCTCAGTCACAGTATGCTGTATTTCAGCATGCAGACATCTATTCATATTCTATCTGTTTTTCCTGGTCAGGGCTGTAGGGATTTCTTTGATGAAGATAACATTCTCAGTATGCAGCTGTATATACTATGCGTTTATATAGGCACAGGTACATACCCCATGATCCTGACCAGAATAAGCACTTGGAGGATGAATGGATGAATGAATGTCTAGGCAGATGTATACTGAATCATAGGTTTTAAATACTCTCCTTAAAGGTACAACGTCTCTAAGCTCTGCTCCTTTGGCTTCCCTAAATTACTAGGACTCAAAATACCATTTACTTAACAGACAGAATGTCTTTGATCCACATGACTTTTTGTATCTGCTTCTTATGTCTTATTCCATTAGCAACTCCTGTTACAGCCTCCATGCTTCTTTCACATTTGCCTTTTATTAAAGTTTGATAGAAGTACTTGTTACTTCTAACTCGCAACAAATGCAGGCATCGCACATACAGAGCCCCGGAGCTATAACTACCAACAATCCGACAATAAAAACAAAATCTGAAGTTATACTAAATCTTACTTGGACAGATGGACTGGAAATGCACGTACGAAACTTACTAGGCAATGTTATCCTATTGAAAAGAATGACAAGGTAACTGGTGCTGAGGTCTGTCAATGACTAAGAGTGTGGGGGAGGAAAAACACACATAATTTCTTTATTTCCCATTGCTCTGTCTTAGCTCCCTCCCCACTCTGAAATCCCAGCCCCTGAAGGTGTCATAACAGTCCTCTCTCTCCTGTTCTCCTGCTCTCTCTCTCTCTCTCTCTCCCTCCCTCCCTCTCTCCACCTTTCAGATCTTTAAAAGCCGGTGTTCCCAGTGTCTTTCTCTGCTGTCTGCGCCATCAGTAGTCCCAGGTGCAGAAGGGAATTCCTGTGTCCCTCTTGTCTGAACAGGCTGAACATCCCCGGTGAAGCTCTCTCTCTTGAGAGAGAAAGGCAACAGAGAGGAACGAGGAGGAGGAGGAGGAGGAAGAGCGTTCAATTCAGTAAATTAAGAAATATATACAAATATTCAGGAGCGTCTGCTTCAGTGCGAGGAGGATAAGAGTTCTGGGCAGGATGGTTCACCTCTCTGACTTGCTGGCCTTCACCTTGATGCTGGGTGCTGTGTCTGCTGTCCGGTCAGGCATTGCTCGCACGCACCTCCTCAAAGCCGGCGGGAAGTCCGAGGGTCCCAGGGACCCAGTAGGAGACCTGAGCACCACGACACTGGCCCTGGGGGAGCCCTGCGGGGTGTACACACTGAGCTGCGCCAAGGGACTGCGCTGCATGCCATCGGCACAAGAGACCGGTCCCCTTCAAGCCCTGCTGCAAGGCAGGGGCATCTGCACCAAAGGCAGCAGAGCTAGCCCACCCGAGAGGCCTCATCCCACAGGTATGGCACGTGTTGAAAGGCAGAGGTCTCGTTTGAACCCAAAGTCAATGTCGGGTCATGAGGGCGTTAGTCTGATTTACCGTTGGGGCGGTTGCAGTCGGCATGCAGCTTAATAGGGGATTATCATTTTCCCCAAAATCATACCTAGTAAATAGATGTGCTGCCAACTCCGAGAAGTCATACCTCCCACAGTGAATGCCTTCTTTAAGTTACCCAATAAGTTACTCAACGAAAAAAGCATGTGCATGAAGCGATGGCAGACATTGCTCAAGGTTATCTGGCCATAAGTCAGAAGGGACCGGAGGACATTTGGCCGCACTCTCTTTAGACGGGCCGTGAGTGTGACCTCATGCCTGCTTCCTCTCAGCCAGGCACATTAACGGGGCTAAGCGTGCGTTTTATCTGAACGCACAGTGATCATATGGATATTGCTCGCCGGCAGCTGGGATGGGGGGCTGGATCATTAGCTAGTGCGACAGAATCAGACCCTTCGTGAATGTATAAAACATCGCAGTGCCTGAATTTATACGTGTCTGGGCGGAAAAATGAAGGTCTTAAGGATAACCGTAAGGTAGCGTACGGGGCTTCATGAGGCACCTGCTGAAATTGTATGTACTCAACATCTTTGAAATACTGTTGTGTTAAGCAAGTGGCTCCACCTACTGTTCAAGAGAAGTCATTGCATCAGCAGGGCAGTCACACTGTAGCCTCCTCAGCTAAGCTACTTCAATGCTGTATTGGCGTTTCTAGTCAGTTTAAATATAACCAAGACTGCATATAATTATTTTTTCAGGTGGAAACCCTTCAAATACTGGAGAACTGGAAAAGGTAAGGCTTACGTCTCCTATCCTGCTGCTCTCCTCACAAACTTTCATATCCATTCTTCTTCCAGTCACTTGTCCTGGTCAAGGTCAAGGGACAAAGTTTCATATGTTTTTTTTTTTTATTAATCATTCATGTGATCTTTTTTTAAATCTTGAATTTTTGCAAACTTTTAAGTGCTTTTATTAATCATCAACTCTGTTACTATCGACCCAAATGACAGTAATGATTCCAAATAAGTGCTTCTATATGAGATAACATGACCTCTCTCAGACAGACCTTAGTTTCAGGTATCATGTGACAGGGTCTCCGAGTCTTGTGATGAAAGACAGATCAAAAGACATCTGAATCTTAACGTAAACATATATCCAGGCATGTCAAAATGTTCACCCACATTATGCAGCAAACAGTATGCAGCAAACCCTACACTGTATCCTTCCTTCTCTTGCTCTCTCTCTATGTCCCTCTCCATGGCTCTCTCTCACTCCATATCTCGGTCTCCCAGGCGCCCTGCCGTAAGCTCCTGAACACATTGCTGCAGCATCTAGAGCTCACTGTCTTCCCATCCAACAGTGACATCTACATCCCAAACTGTAATACTCGTGGCTACTACAGGAAGAAACAGGTAGCGACCCAGTTTTGAAGATAATAATTCATTTGTGATCATGTTTTTATAAGACCGTAAATGTTCTGTTCTGGATGGGGCAGGGGTAGTGAGTGATCTAATGTCCCCCATGTGACTTGAAATAGACTGCTCCACAGAAGAGAAGCTTATGCTGAAGGTGATCAGGGGTGCTTTCACTTTAGCAGTTAGAGGGGGAGTTCAGTGGCGCGTCAGTGATACTGAGTCAGTGCTCTGTTTCTCCTTACAGTGTCGGTCCTCCATGGGCATGCAGAGGGGCCAGTGCTGGTGCGTGGACGAACACGGCACCCTACTGCCCACACGTGCCAGCAATGATGGCACCATATCATGTGATGGCCAGTGAGGGGCGCCGTGGGTGCGGCGTGAGCCTTTGGGGGGTAGGAGGAAGGGGCCTCAGGGGGCACCAGTAATCACCTGACGGCACGGGTGCGGCGTTTGCATGATGTTCACGGTCCTGCCAGAGCCTGCGGTGCCTCAAGTAGGAGTCAACAACGACAAGCCTTCTGCATCAGACACAACAAAGTCAAATGCAAACTAAATAACCACAACCACAAAACATTTCAGAAAAAGGATGCAGACATGTCAGTGTGCATCAGATGGCTCAGATCCCATCTGACACGAGACCTGGTGTACGCTGGCGATTTTTCAGATTCTTTAGTGATATGCAGTACAGTCAAAAACAAAAAGAAACGTGTTACATGTATATCTGTGTAAGAAATCTGCAGTCTACAAAACAAGAAATGAAAGAAGATTTCCGTAACAAAGACATACACAGGATACTGAAAATTGTTTCAAAAGGGAAAGTAATATTCCAAAGAATACATTTTTCCTATATAAATAGACACATGTTAGAGTTTGTGAAGGGCTTCATAGGACCTTGTGCTACATATTTTTTTCTTTTCATTAAAAATGACCAAAATTAAGAGTCTTTAAGAAAGGAACAACCAATGCACACAATCTAAATCCAACAAAACTAAACTCAGGAAATTCAAGATGCAACTTTTGACCATCGATTTGTGTTCAGGCTACTCTCTCACGGCACTTATGTTGGTAACATAATTTTCATAACATATTTTACTCATATTTTTTGTTGAAATATATATTGTTTTCCACTGTATTGTTTATAAGATGTTGACTGAATTAGTGTTGACATATTTATTTTAATTTAAAATCATTCCTCAATGACTCTCTATTATGGTACCTGGGCCAGTAGTTCAAATATTGTTACATGACTACAGGTCATTTTAACAAAGTATTTACAAAATATCTTCACTGGAGGATGAAAGGACAATAAACAAGACTAAAGACAGTTTTTTATTTTCACTGTATCACAGCCATGCTCCATTTTTGAAAATGGAAGAAAATAGATATTTCTGTAAAGGCTTCAATTAAAATCAATGGAGACAATGGTCATTATTACTGGAGGTGTCAAGATAATGGTTGCAGGTATTAGATCTCTGTTTGGACCCTGTCTCTCCTGACAAATCCTTCTCCCTCCTTCCAATGGTAGTAATAAGGATGGAAAAATTTGTGTAATTAATGTTCTAATATAATTTATCGGACCGAGTACATTTGGCACTTAAGCGCATTCATCGCAATAATATGCTTAAATTACATAATCTTAGCACGTATAATAATGAATAATATGTTTGTTTCTTAAAAGGGTTAAGATTTATTGTTGTATGTATTTAGTACCGGCTGTACCAGTCCTATACACACCAAATCATTATTTCTGATGATTTGGATAGAATACTGATTGCGATTTTTGGTCTTTATGAAATGTAACCCTAGTTTCTGCATATTTTTATAAAGGTTTTGATACATATATAAATTAAGTATGTTTTATTATTTAATGACCTACTGTATATTTTTTAATGGCTTCTCCATGTTATTTAAAACAAGCTAGAATTTCTAGCTTGTGAATTAAGGTCCATCACACCTTAACTGGGAGAATATAAATACTTGTACCTGCATCCCTGAGCTCTCCCCTCTATACTGTTACAATTATGTTAATTATTGATTTATTTATATGAAGGTAATTTAATATAATATGTTCAATGTGTAAATCAGTGTAATTCAAACTATATGCTTTTCATGCATTATTTGAATAAATTAAGTTCAAAGCTGTTAATTTTTTTTTTCCAACTTCAGTGTGAATACTAAGAGTCAAACTTGATAATATATGTTACGGTTCATTTGGATTAAACGTTACGGTGGAATTAACAGCAAGCGTAGGTGGTGCTAGGCCCTGATTAGGGGGCTTCAGCCCCCCCAGTATTTCCTCCCACTCTTTCCCTTCGAGTTGCGATTCCCCGGCTTCCAGTGTCAGGAAGTGCAAGGAAAGGCGGGCGGCACTTTTGGAGAGACTGTGGGTTTGTCACATGTCACCAGCCGTTAATAATGTAATAAATCCTTGTCATTCAGCTGTCGATGTATTTCTAGTTGCTTATTCTTGTCATATCCCACATTCTCACTGGGGGTTGAAGCCCCCGAACGATCAAATCCTTGAATAACACCTTGTTGCACTGATGGATGTCTGAATGGTTGCATTATCCTCAGTAACAAATTAATTTTTACAATTTGTCTTGTCTATTTATGCATTAGCAGGGCCATGAACGCCTTAAAAAAAAACACCACTTTTGTTCTGTTTTTTGAAATTCACGCTGAAATGTATCTGCAGAAAAAAAAGTGCATAGAGATCCTATCAGAAGTAGGAGACAAAAAACGAAAGCAGCACCAAATGCTGTGTGATTGTCTATAGATAATTCGCCTGAATACGAAGCGTTATTAATTTATAATTTTTTTTTTATTTTCAGATGCAGTTTGACCTCATCAGTAGATGAGCACATTTTGAACATGTCGCATCTCAACCTGGCCACCAGAGGGAGTCAGATTTAGAAATGAGCAGTAACAACTTCAAAATGAATACTGTTTTGTCAGTGTATTGAAAATGACAAGAGAAGTAGTCATGATTCCTAGATAGTCAATCAGAAAGTGTAATTTAAGCGAAATTTAGGTGTCTGTGCTAAAGCGAAGTTTAGAAGTGACAGGTTTACACAAGGATTTGGTGCATCCTTCACAGAGCAGGAAAAGAAGGATGCATTTCTAAACTGCATTTGAAGGAGCCTTTGAAATGGGACAGCCTTGTCGCGCCGCTGTGACACATTCGGTGTTCATTGTGTCCTAAGTTCGATCTTGGAAGGAATGTTAGTAAGAACGCTGGGCTATACACTGGGCTACACGGTTGACTACACACTGGGCTACACACTGGGCTATAACCTGGGCTACATCCTAGACTACATACTGGGCTACACCCGAGGCTACACCCTGGGCTACATCCTAGGCTACACACTGAGCTACAACCTGGGCTACAACCTGAGCTACATACTGGGCTATATCCTAGGCTACACACTGAGCTACAACCTGGGCTACACACTGGGCTATACACTGGGCTACATCCTAGGCTACACACTGAGCTACAACCTGGGCTGCATTCTAGACTACATACTGGGCAACACCCGAGGCTACATGCTGGGCTACATCCTAGGTTACACCCTTGGCTACACGCTGGGCTACAAGTGCACCGTCAACTGTCATCTGCCACAAACCCATGATGATGAAATTAACATCGTTAATCTGTGCACAGCTTGAAAGCAGCTTCAGAAATGAAAAGTACGACTTGACCTTTAGTGGGCTGTATGAGCTGCTTTTTGGAACCGGAAGAGAAATGAGACAGAATTAAAAGTTGAATACAAGGAGCTACATGAAATTAATGCAACAGCTATATATATATTTACTTCTCCTCTGCATAATGCACAGCTTGTCGTGCATTGACCCTTACTTAATGATTAATGTGCTCATTGCCACAAATTATTCCACGAGGCACATGCAAACACACAGCACAGACTCAACCCCTGGTCCCCAAAGTGTGAGACAACAGTGCTAACCACTGCACCACCATGCCACCCAAATTTTGATTTATGTAATCTTAATCTTTAAGAATAAAACCCCTAATAGCTTATATTGTTAAAAAAAAAAAGTACCAACTACTCGATGATACACCTTTTTAAAGTTCTGTCTAAGCTTGTAATTTATATTACGAGCATCAGTTAAGACGACAATGGTGGAGATGAGGATGGTGGGAGAACATCAGGAACCATCCTGTCCTTCCACTATCCAGTCCTAATCCATTCTTGGTGCTCCTTTAGCCACCAGCTCATTGTACCATGGTGTGCTAAGCAGTACTTTTGGATGTTCAGACTTCCCGTTTCCTTCCAAGAAGAACTCCAATTTAACATTAGAATTGTATATTTTTACATTGCCCATTGTTTATATTTGTGCAGCCAGTACATACATGTAGGTGATTGTTTTATGCACATATAACTTACCATGCTTGTGGCAAGCAGCAGTGTGTTGTTGCCAGAACTATAAAAAAACAGCTAAGTTTTAAGAAATGCATGCTCTTGCCCCATATATACAGCTGTGGCAACCATGATGCTGAATTAAACGGAAGTCATGCATAAGCTCACTTTGGTAATTTCACCCACTTTTCCTGTTAAGGGTCACATGGCGACCTGGAGCCTATCACAGGGCATAATGCAAGGAGGCATCCTGGATGTGATGGCCGGTCGTCAGAGGGCACAATCTCACAATCAGACCTTATCAGCCGCCATGCTGCTCCTCACTTAATAAGCTACAACAGCATGTTTGCAAAGGTACATCTAAAGCACACAGAAACACATATCTGCACACATACACTATATGCCCATTCACGACTACACGCCTGCCCACTAAAGGAGACAGTTGCGCAGACAGACCTTGCCAGTGACCCATTTGTGCTACCATGCTGCATTGAAAAAGCTGGTAAGAAGAGACAAATTGCCAACTGGCTGGGATTTCCTGTAGGTGGGATTTCCTACCCTGTTACAGATAACTAGCACATATACAGCAGTGTTTCCTTCCAGGATCAGGACTTAATTATTATACCATGGGCCATAGAAGGGGCAGGGATACCCTGGCAGATTCAGGGGCCCAGCACTATAGGGGCCACAGAAGGGGCATGGATACCCTGGCAGATTCAGGGGCCCAGCACTATAGGGGCCACAGAAGGGGCATGGATACCCTGGCAGATTTTGGGGCCCAGCACTTTGGGGGCCACAGAATGGGCATGGATACCCTGGCAGATTCAGGGGCCCAGCACTATAGGGGCCCTTAAGTATGTCAACTTATAAGTCATACGCTCAGAGAACATTATACAATGAATGCGAAATTTTAACGTGACTGACCAGCCCCCAGCTAGTTAATTTTACCATCAGAGGGTGGTGTCCGATATTGCTTGAGAAAGAGGCATCCCCATTGGGGGTGGGGAGGGGGGTGCAGAATTTCTAGCTACACCCCTGCTTATTTTTCAGTACGACACAATTTGTTTCAACTGGGTGTCTGACCAGTGCAGCAGAATCACTCAGACACAGCAGGTGCCTCACAGTATCTGTTCAGCAAACATTCCTGAAAGCCATGAATAGAGCACTTTCAGAAATGTGTTATTTGTACCGCAGGTTGGGAGAGCAGCAAACCTGACTGTACGCTGCATCTTAAACTCTTAACTCCAGTATTTTGTTACTCCGTTGCAGCTGATGGAAAGATACTGCCTGCTGTTCTTGTCGTCGTTTTTCTGTACCGGTGGTTCTTGCCAGGGTCACAATACTTCTGTACTGCACTCTGCAGATACACTCAGATAAACACAAGAGCACCTTCAAAAAGGTGCTTCTAAAACATTCTGCCTTTTAATCCAATCTCAATGACATGTAAGCAGATTTATATGTAAACACTTTGTGGAATATTCCATGGTTTGTTTCTAATCTCAGTAATATGTGTAAGAATGTTAGAAATCTTGACAAATTCAAAGAGATTCTTCTTTTATAAGTAAGATCTATATCGTATAGTTTTTTTTCCCATCAATGCTCTATGTGCATGGGATTTTCACATTAATCTTAGCATCAAGACTTAAATGTCAAAATGTCCAATCAGATTTGAGGAGACGTACTGGCAAACCATGATGGATGTGGACGTGAAACAGGATAATCTACAGCAGTGTGCTTTAAGGTGGATTTAGATTCATACAGTGTGAGCTCAACACAATATTGAGATAAACTGGGATGTGCACTTATACTGGGATTATCTTGAGCTGGTTAGCAAAACTGAGCAGTATATCACATCTGCAGGGACTCTCTTCCAGCAGCATATAATTGAGGAATTTCATCCTACGCAAACAGAGAAGCAACTATGTAGACAAAATACAGAATAATTAGAATCCATACAAATAGCTCTTCACCTGTGTCCCTTCCTGTGCTTTTTCACTGTGACTATGTTTGTTTGTAAACAAATAGCAGACTCTCCAGGGGGGTATTCCAGAAAGCAGGTTATGTGACATACCCGGGTAAGTTTAAGGGCAAGTTAGTGGATAACCTCAACTTTCGGTTCCAAAAACGGAGGTTAACTTTCTGGGTATGTATGTAACCATAGCAGCTTACTCTCT